GAGAGAGAGAGAGAGAGAGAGAGAGAGAGAGAGAGAGAGAGAGAGAGAGAGAGCTCAACTCAGTTTTAGAGGCCCATAAATGTATGTTTAAAAAAAGTCCTTGTAGGTAAGATTGGCCCCACTAGACCAATCTACCAACTATAAGTTGAGTTAAGTGGAAAGGACAATTCTCCAGACCACCCACATGTTGTCCTGCCTCTCTGTTTTCATTTTTGCTTTTTCAGAGGGATTAGTGCTAAACACCACAGCTTTTCAGCCTCACCAAAAATGAATCTGCAGGGTGGGGGAATATCAATTCTGAGTGAAGTGAAAATCAGTCTCTTAAATCTGCAAAGCGAGCTGTTTATCTTACAAATGTATTCTTTTTTATTGGGCCACACATATCCCAGGCAGCAAGATAAAAGAGAGATGTCTAACAAGCTGTCATTAAGAGTGACATCTAGCAAAGCATAACTAGTACTCTTATTCCATAAGTTTATCTGGAGTGGCTGGTTAGTTTTAGCTATCTGTTGATCTGCATTTTCCCCCCTCTCCCTGCTGTATAATGTTGATAGAAACCTCAAACAAAATAAAAAGATCCTTTCACACATTTGTGTTTTTCCACTTCATACGTGCCGTCTTAATTTTGCACAATTCAAGAGTATTTTCTTCTGTTGAGTTTTGTTTCCTGTTGAGTGCTTGTGCAAATAATATGACAATTAAAGTTTCTTGAGGAATCCAACAATATAAAATAGTTCATGCCTGCTTGATGGTCCACATGGATTCTAAGTTGCATTACTGTTAAATGCTGTAGAGACTTTCAGTGTTTCTATTCATGCATCTTTCCAGTTTTCTAACATCTACTATGTGTTAAAATTTGAGCAGAACACTCAGAGAAATTTCTTGTATTTTTTTTATTCAGTTGTTTATTGTTTTCAATAATTTGCCTCCAGAAGTTGTGAAAGCTCCAACACTGGAAGTTTTTAAGAAGAGATTGGACAACCATTTTTCTGAAATGGTACAGTGTTTTCTGCCTGAGCAGGGGGTTGGAGTAGAAGACCTCCAAAGTCCCTTCCAACTCCTCTACTCTACTCTACTCTACTCTACTCTACTCTACTCTACTCTACTCTACTCTACTCTACTCTACTCTACTCTACTCTATTCAAACAAAAAGCAAAACTTCAAAGTCCAGGGAATATCCATGTTGTGTGTGATTTCCTGGACAGATATTTTAACCATTTTTCACCTCTCAGAAACACACATGTATTTACTTTATTGACTATCAGAGAAATACATCCCTAAAATTCACATATATTTTTCCTTGAGTTTTTTGTTTGTTTGTTTGTTTTCCCTTCACTGTGGTTTGCTGCAGACTTTCTGCTCCTTCCCACACATGTCTGTTTGTGCACTGATTTGATTTGTCATAGTTTATTTGTTTGTTTGTTAGGTTTATTTACCACCTATCTTGCTGTGGGCTACCCTAGGCAGCTTACAATGATAACAAGGAAGAAATGAAAAGAGTGTAAACAGAACAGAAGTAAAATAATAGAACCATACAATGAACAATGGAAAAGAACACAATGAAAATATATCAATAACTCTCTTTTCCAACCCTGTAATCCCTTAATTCGGGATAGAGTCAGGGCAACTGGATGGAGTTGTGTGTTTACTGGCTGGATGCCCTTCCTTCAGTCAGTCACTTCCTCTTAGCCCAACTTACTTCACAGGTTTTTTTGGGGGGGGGGGGCACAAGAGGATGGAACAATATGTATATCATCTTGGGCTCCTGTTCAAAAAGGATGTAATTCTAATAAACATAGTAATAATACATATGTTTGCAGCTAAAATAGCATATTTGCAGCTATTTCCCATCTTTTGCTCATGGGGACATCATAGCCATCTTTCTTTCCATATTATGGAAGTATGCAGTGTTAATATGCATTAAACCCTGATGACATTTCACAGAACTGTCATGATACCAAGGATTCTAGGTTTGTTGGGGGGGGGTTGCTCTTCTTTTCTATATTCCCTGTGTTCTCTGTCCTTGTCAGCCTCTGATTGTTAAATCTCATAAAGTCAGAGATATACCGGGAGTCAATCATTTACTGTGGGTGATGTGGATTCCCCATTTTGGGGTGAGTTTGTGTAGAGGCTGGAGAGGGATTATTTCAATAGAAGAGAATATTTTTAGCTGAGGTTAAACTGTGGGGGTCTTTGATGCTTTCTGAGCTTGGTTGTTTGCCTGTAGATGCATTGCCCAACTAGGTAACATCATCAGTGCACTGCTAACTATGATAACTAAGGCACCTCAGTCCAGACAGTTTTTCCTAAGACAGCTTATTCTGAAAGTGGCATCAGGAGAGAACAAGAACAGTTTAAGGGTACGGTGCAGATAAATCCAATGTGGAAGTTATCTGACATAAAGTTGTGGGTTAAAGCTCTTTTTTGCCTCTTGGAGGCAGAATGAAGTAGGAATAATCGTGTGACACAATTAAATTGTGATGGCATCTCGCTCTAAAGAAAAGAATAAAAGAAAAGCTGTAACTTGGTATAATTTATGTGACAAGTTCCCACAAACATTGGGTAGAGTCCATTTAATGGGTGAACAGTTTTAAATCTCCTTGATTTCATTGTGAGAGATTTGCACATCTGCTTAGTCTTCTATTAAAACCAACAGTACTTAATGAATTAACCAAAGGCTTATATTTAAAAGTGCTTAATTTCCTGTGCATTACGCCTAATACCATTAATATTAGTAGTATCAATTGTAGTAATGTTCTTACCGCTTTCTTTAGTCTTCAAACTTTTGAAAGGAATGCACAGCTTGGGTTGCATACGCCTGCATATTAACAGTCGAGCAAATGCAAGAAAGGGGGAAAAAAAAACTTTTCTGGAAAAAAAAAACCAGGAAAAGTTTTTTGTGTTTTTCTTTTCTTTTTTTTTAAGGATGAGAAAGTACTTAATAGGAATGAAGCAAAAGAAGAAATCAAACCAGCTGCTGACACAGCTGTTTCTTTTCTTGTCTAATTCAGTTCTGTATAAAGGTACCATATGCTGCTTAAAAACGATGATGGGAAAGATGAAATAATTTAAGAGAATAACAAGAAAATACATGAATTGTCAGCATTCTGTCAGATTTAAAAGAATGAAACAGACAGGTGTAGTATTGACATGTTTCGCTTTGTGTTGCATTAGCAGTTTGAGTGAGAACAACTTCTTGACATGTGCTGAAGTGATGTGAGAACACTCTCTCTGTTTCAGATGTTGGAGAGGAAGCTGGAAGATCTGCCGGCGTCCAGCAGCCATCATTATTGAGAGATAGGAGCCTTGGGTCTACCATGAAGGACTGTCCCTACTGTGGGAAAACATTCAGGACATCCCATCACTTAAAAGTTCACTTGAGGATACACACAGGTGAGGCCTCCTCATAAAAGTGTGATACCTTTATACAGAAAAGAAAGGAATGCCTAGAAGGTGTTCTCAGGAAGTACGGAGGCTCAGGGACTAACCCACAAGAACGACATTCATGTTCTTCTTACTACCATTTAGTAGGTGGCACTGCAGGCCCTGTCATTAGGTGGGATGAAGAAAAATGAGACGGGGGAGGCCAAAACGTAACCTCTCACTCTTTCAACCCATGGCCAGGATCATGAACTTCTTGTTGTAAAGCTGTCAGCTTTGCAACCCAAGAATTCTCTGATATCAGGTCCCAAACCAAGAACTGATGGTTCTTTGAGGCTGAGTTCTTTATCGTTTCTCACAGAAGGACAAAAATCTTGCCAAATGGAGCACTCTATTATCTACAATATACTCTGTGAACTATTAGGGAGAAGCCACCTTCACCCTCTTTCTCTCATACATAATATCTGGGCTGAGTTGCTTCTTACATTTTTGGAGTACACTTCCATCCCTCCCTCCTGGAAATCCACATCTTCAATCCATTCCATTATACCTTTTTTTTCTAGATCAAGGGGCCAGTCCATCTCTCTGCCAGTCCATCTCTCTGCCATTGTTGCTGACCACCAAGCAGCTGATCAGCTAGCCGGCAGTAGTAATTTGAGTCCACACCCTTTGTTAATTTCCTACTCATCTTCAGCAGCGTTGTCCCTTATTGCCTGTACCAAGGACCAACTGTCCCCCGTTTATGCCATTCCACTGCAGCCAGATCACAAGATCACAGGGGAGTGGGTCACCTTAACAAGGCATATTATTTGGAAGAGGCAGCTGAGCTGGAAGGCGGGGTTAAACTTGTCATTAGTTCATTGCGTTGCCACAGGAGACCTAAGTCCTGCCCCGTAAATTCCATTGATCCTTATGTAGTGCCATCTAGATTAATGTCAGGTGCAAATAACCAGGAATATTCATTGAGTTCAAAGCACATAAGAGTTTATTATTTCTATCTTTAATGCAAGAATCTAGTCAACTAATGGTTAAAGCTAAATTGGTGCTAGATAAAGCTCAAGTATCAGCCTTCTCTTCTCCTGCAAAAATGTCTACTAATGATGGCTTAGCGTTGATGTGTTGAGCATGAGTTGTCTTTGGGTGTTCTAAATAGATAACTTAGATAAGCATTGTTTCAGATATCAGTCTCCCCCCGTTATTATAAATTTAAGAGGACTGAAATATTGAGAATACTCAAATATTCTCAAAATATTTAAAAGATCTATCTATGTTGATTTTGTTAAATTTAATACAAAGGGACAATCCTTGGTTGAAAAGTTGTGTTTTTCTGTAACAATGTGCATGCACATTTCTGCATGCATGGAATTTCTATTTGAATTATCAAATAGATTTTTTTTAAAAATGTTTAGAATGGTTCCATTTGTCCAGGCAGAGCAGCATAGGGAGGTGCTGTTAAATACCTCAAAAGCCCCACAATTCCCTGGTGTTTCAAAAGCAAACTATTTTCTTTTACATGTCCTTCTAATGTGGAAGACTTTGTTTAAACTGAATTGTATTTTTGCAAAAATAGAATGTTTTTTTCCAAACATCAGTGAAAGAAAAAAAAATACAAAACTAAAAGAAGTATATTTATTTTTTTAAAGTATTTTAGAAATGGCAAATATTTATTATAACTAAAGGCCAAGAAGAACTGCTTATTTTGTGTTTGATTAATAGATGCACAAATGTCTTCATTGTTCCTCTGTTTAGAAAATGCATGAACATAACAAAACATTCTGTGTTTGAGAACAAACATGTGCAAAGAATTAAATAATTGCTACATAAATTGGAAGGTGATATGGAGATAAAGAACCAATGGATCAGAATCTCAGGGCTATCTGCTGCAAGGTTTAAATACCGGAATTCCCCCCCCCTCAATTTTGTAATTCCATTAGAATTTTAGAATTAGAACAACATTGTGTGTTGTAGAAATGGAAAGAAATAGTAGTGCACCCAAGCATGTTAATAGCATAAAGGACATATTCGGATGCTATCTTTTAAGTCAAAGTTTAATTTAACCCCCCCCCCTTATATTATATGTTAGAGCAAGAAAAACCTGTATTCCACATGGAATTCATGGATTTAAGGTGATTCAGAAAGGCGTGGGGTGGATAAGATGAAAACTTGACAAACTTTGGATGAAAAGGAAGACTTTTTGTTCTGAAAGTGCAGCTTTCACATTGATGATCTCTAAGAACAGAACTGAAAATTCAGATTGAATTTTGGTTCATTGAAATGAAAGTCATTCAAATCTGGATGCAACCAGCTTTGGAGAATTGTGAACCATTCTGGTTATGCACCTCAGAAAGTACGTATGGGGTTATAGTTTCACAAAGCCAATAAAAGAACGAGATGATAGGGAGGAATACAATTATCTAAGATTCTGAGGAAATGGAACGAGGTTTTGTTTTTTTTCCCTCCCTTCGTCCCAAGTACCGGAATCCAGACTCATTCAGAAGAACTGACAGAAAGACCCCCTCCTTCCACGCCCATATTCCAAAATTAACTATGGAAATCACTATTACAAGATGTACTCGTGCCACTGTGTGGGATGGCTTTCAAAGAAAAAGCTATTGTTGGCTAATTATCAAGATTACAACCTATTACACTCAGGAAGAGAGTCACTAGATGCTTCCTCGTAATAATTTGAGACAGAAGCCCTGTTGGATTGCTGTCCCCTCAGGGTTTCCTTAGAGGCCACGGTAGGAAAAGAATATAAGAGATGTATCTGGTGGGGCAGCTGCAGAGCACTGAGGAGAATGAATTAGAGTACACTAAAAATTTTATTCACGTTATATATATATTTCATTCTGTTCAAATGTTTACATGTAAAACAAGGACTGTTAGAAACTGCTGGTCTTTCATAAGGCCCTAAAAACTTGGTTTTCTGCCCAGGACTGGGATCCCATGAGAGTGATGGAGATGGTCTCTGGGCTTTATTGATGGTTATGAAGTTTTTTTTTTTATAGTATGTATTTTATTGTTTTCATATACTCAGTTATAAGCAGCCAAAGGTCATTTATGTGAAATGGGTGGCAATAGGTAGGTAGGTAGGTAGGTAGGTAGGTAGGTAGGTAGATAGATAGATAGATAGATAGATAGATAGATAGATAGATAGATAGATAGATAGATAGATAGATAGGTGGATAGGTGGATAGGTAGATAGATAGGTGGATAGGTAGGTAGATAGATAGGTAGATAGATAGATAGATAGATAGATAGATAGATAGATAGATAGATAGATAGATAGATAGATAGATAGATAGATAGATAGATAGGTGGATAGGTGGATAGGTAGATAGATGGATAGATAGATAGATAGATAGATAGATAGATAGATAGATATATAGATAGATAGATAGGTAGGTAGGTAGGTAGGTAGGTAGGTAGGTAGATAGATAGATAGATAGATAGATAGATAGATAGATAAATAGATAGATAGATAGATAGATAGATAGATAGATAGATAGATAGATAGATAGATAGATAGATGACAGACAGACAGAAAGACATGCTAAATAAATACTTCTTCCTTTTATCAATCTTGTATTATAATTAAAGGGCTACTTTTTGTTTCTTTGTTTGCTCATATGAAGGCTTGAAATGAATGAAAGTTGACTTTTCCTTGACTCCCAAAACTCCAGGGCCCCCTGGAGACAACTGTTTTATAGTCACTTTGTGGGTAGCCTATGTGTGAAGAATTTGTGAGGTGCTGATCCGTTCACCACTACTTGTTCCACAACGTTCATCAGCTCCTCTTCAATCTGACATTGCTTCCCCAGTGGTCCACATACAGTAATATTGCGATACGTCAGTGTCCCTCAAGATTAGGTAACAGTAGCTCTCCAAATAGGCTTCTTAAATCTGCTTCCAAACAAAGATACTTTTTCCTTTTTTCTGTCTTTTTTTTTTCTTTCACACACTTTTCTTTCTTTCTTGCCCAAAGTGGTTGTTTCACACCTAACTTGGTGTGATTCACCTGAGTTCAGATTATGATCTATTATGGGTTGAAAACAGATCGACAGCATTGTTCCTAATAGGAAATTACAGTCTCTTCTAAAAATTGCTACAGATAGTTGCCATGTGTCTAACGAATACTCAGTACGAAGTTGACAGAAATAAACTCAACTCGTGCTTTCTGCTGGAAATGTCTACTAATAGTATTTACAGAGGCAAGATGGATTAGATACATAATTGAAGAAAATGGCCTCATGCACCAGGAACCGAAACAGTTTCGTTGCTGACTTTTTAAAAAAAAAAATTCCAAACTAAGCTAAAAAGATTTTTTTCTCCCATTCCCTACCTGTTTCTCCCGATAACTCCATCCTTAATATTATGCCGCTCGCCTTCCCTCGATGTAATGACATCCCAAACTTTTGTCAAAAATAATTGATTGAATTTAAATAATCTTAAAAGTTTAAAAGGTAATGTTAACAGTATACATTTCCTACCAAACACTAAGTAGGGAAATATCCATTAGTGAAATTAACTACAGTTTCTAGGTAGCTAACAATGTGGTGTATACAGTGAGGCTAATGAACGCTGCAGTGGGTGATATTTCATTATACAAATTAATGCTCACATTTTAATGGGAAAGTCACATAATGAATCTCAGCTTCACTGACAGCAATTAGAAACACAGATTGTCCCCTTCTGGACAAGACACTGTTTAGCAATAAGCAGCTGTGTAAAAAGTCTTCAGGTTTGCAACATATATACATATATATGCTTTAGGGAAAATGGCTGAACAGTTTATATTAATGTACTGAAGCTTCAGAGCTAAGGAGCATCCATATTTATTTCTTCTAACCTTAACTATGTAAAAATTTAGAGAGAGAGACTAAATAAATATTCACAATAGGATTTAAATTCAATCGTGTGGCTTTGCACGAAAAAAAAGAAGAAGAAAAGAAAAAAGATGATGAGGAAGGTTATTAAAATATTATCCAGCTAGTTGTGCTATAGAACAGAAGGTAATAGAAATAAGAATCTTATATCTTGTTTCCCCCCTTTGTTTTTGGTTTGCATATTTCATGATAGCAAGGGAGTAAAAGAGTCAAAATGCAATTGGTATTTCTGACAAACAGATGAGCTATGTGGGGAACATGTGCACGATCCAAAAATAATCCCACAGAACCTTTGATATTCCATTTGGTTTCATAAGTGTGAAGTGAGTGATTAGAATGATAAAAGAAATTACTGAGTAGGAACAGGCAGAATAATGAAGTAATTAAACCATGCTGCAATTCTTTTCTGAAAATACCTTCTCTTGCCATTGATGAAATAGATTATCAATATCTTATTAATTGATTGAATGGCTTTTAAGAATGCACACAGAGTGTTCAGTGTGTGTATTAGAATCTTTCAAGGGACATTTACTTGTTCATTTCATTATCCACCGATATATTAGTAATTCTAATTCTTGAGGATAAATGATACTCCTGGATAGGTTAAAGGAGCCCAAGTTCATGAAGGCTTAGGATACCACTTTCCGGACAGAGTTGGAGAAGACCCCTAATTAAAACCGGACAGTTAAATGGGCAATCTGACGTTCCCTATTTGGTTCAACTTCCTGATGCCTAGGGAAGCATGGCGAATGATAAAGGATTATGGGATTTGCCATCCAAAACATTAGGTTGCTTACTCAAGCACAGACAAATCTGAGGTACATTGAAAAAGTGCCTCATTCAGTGTAAGGCCGTCTTCCGTAGATTAGAATGGGTCCTCCAGAGCAAGGATCCCCAACCTTGGCCACTTTATGACTTGTGGACTTCAACTCCCAGAATTCCTCTGGCTGGCTGAGGAATTCTGGGAGTTGAAGTCCACAAGTCATAAAGTGGCCATGGTTGGGGACCCCTGCTCCAGAAAATCCTGAAATGTAATTTGCATAATTGCCCAGTTCAACTGTCTTTGAAAGGTTGGGCTCTACACTTATTTACAAACCATACAGTGCATTCAGATACTTTTTAAGTCGATCGTGGAAATATAATACTTTAATATGTATTGAATATTTTGGATATAAATCCTTAACAGGAAATCTGAATCTATTTTTGGGTCATGTTCATTCTGCGTTCAAAAATATTTTCTATCCCTGTTCCACATTAATGCACATTTTGACTGGAGATGGTTTTGCATTCGCAAGGCAGAATAATACGCATTTAATTCAAATTTTATTCAATTAAAATTTGTCTTATAGCTCACATTTTGCTAAGTGTCTCGTGTGCCCTCAAGCTAGGAAGTACTACAAAATTCAGAAGGACGTTTGTCCATATGGACTAAATGTTGGTCATTGATGGATACTTCAATGATTAGAACTTAGAAAAGCAGCACAATGAAATAACAGAAACTCTTGAGTCACAAAAGAATGGTTCGTTAATAATGGCAGTGTTAAATGAGCAAACATGGGTGGGAGTTTGAGGGTTCTCTGCATCTTCTTAATTTTCCCAGTACTACATTCTTTTGGGCAGAAAACTCTGATGTTGATCCTGCAATCTCTTGGAACCTGTCTCCAACTTAGGAGTCATAGCTGCAAGTCACCACTGGGATCACTTTGGCTTTGACATTCCACATCCACCATTTCTTTGTTATTAGTGTAACTTTTGTCCAGCAATGAGTTGTCCTGTGGCAAGTTGGCTATGACGAGTTATCCCACTGCAAGTTGGCCATGGCGAGTTGTCATAGACCCTCCTTAATGCCGTGATACTTCTCCATGTATTTGCTGAAAAGGCCAGTTAACTATTGTTTGAAAGATTTTGTTTTTAGAGAAGACTTGACAGAAAGTACAATCTCAGAGGCCGTTTGGGTTCTTCACAAGTAAATTGTGAAGCCCCTGGAGAGGTTCAAATGTTGAACTTCCTCCTCCATATTGTCACCATTCTTTCTTGAAACTACTTACAATGTCTTGATGTTTGTGTTTTTTAAGAGATGTGTATTTAAGCTGTGTCTGTTTCCAACATGGCACCCACTAAATGTGTTGGGATGAGAACTCCCTGATTTCTGCTGAAAATCGCTTTGCTACCTAGAAAGCTGGCATTCCAACATTCTTGAAGGCCATAACTGAAGGAGATGAATACATTTGCACAAGTGTTTAGAATGCAGTACTGCAGGCTAACTCTGCATTACTACTGCCAGCAGTTCGATCCTAATCGGCTCAGCCTTCCATCTTTCTGAGGTCAGTAAAATGAGGACCCAGATTGTTGGGAGCAAGATGCTGACTTTGTAAACTGCTTAGAGAGGACTGTAAAGCGGTATATAAGTGTGTGTGTGTGTGTGTGTGTGTATACAGGGCTTTTTTTCTCATAGAACGCCCAGAACAGAGTTCCGGCACCTTTTTTGGGTGGAACCTTGCAGGGTAGGCAAGGCAAATTGTATGATGTGTGTGAGTTCCGGCACCTTTTTTTTTTTTTTTTTTAGAAAAAAAGCACTGTATGTATATGTATATGTGTGTGTGTGTGTGTGTGTGTGTGTGCATGTGCATGTATATATATATGTGTGTATATATATATATGTACACACACACGTATATATAAATATATATATATATGTCATGTATTTCTTTTTATTATTTTTTGTTGACATGGGGACAGAGGAGAGACGTAGAAAACAAAGAAATAATGTTAGGGTACACAGTTCACAGATGGCTTGTCTTAATGTTCAAATCATTTCAGAGAAGAAAGAAATGTCCTTGTTATTCAGATTGCTCAGACAAATAATTGTTGTTATTGACAGAACACCATTAAAAGAAGCTTCTAAGACTGTCAGACTGCTGTCTGTTTCAATGACAAGTCCAGCATTCAGGTCTTTAAAGAATCCCTTGATAGCCACTCAAGCAACACCCCTATATATATATATATATTTACTTTCCTGTTTGTCTACCCAGCTTTTCTTTTTGGGGGTGTGCATGTGTGAATGCCTGTAAATATTTCACATATGTGCTGGAGGACACCTACATTTCTTTGACATCAAAATCAAAGAACCATATGGGATTTGCACTGAGATGGAAATATATAACCCAAAAATATCATATGTATTTTAGAACGCAGCTTAAGCCAACCCTTATTCTTTCAAAGAGGTCTTATTGTAGGTAAATTACAGATTTTACCACTAAAGCAAAAAAGGAACCATTAGTGCAAATTTAAAGCACTGCAAAAAAAAAAAGTAGATAATATTAATTTCAGGGCAGCAGAATCTATTTTGTACCTTTTTATTACTCTTTTTCTCTTTAATTTTTATCGACTGCCTTTTATCTTAACTATATGTTCTTAGCCCGATGCAGTTGCAATGCACTAAAATTGCATTAATATTTTATATAAACCATATTTATAGTTCTTTATTTGGAAACAATGCAGCAGGTCTGCAGATCCTTGAATCCTTCTGGAATGGTGCCCTCCAAATAATGATAAATTACTTGTGCAGAATGCCATTTGCTAATTATATCCATGATTTACTGCAGAGCAAGACTTAAATCATTCATTTCAGTCTTGCGTAACAGTGCCATAAAATTTTTAGGTTTAAAAATGGTTTCCATGTGTATAATTTAAACAAATTTTAGTGCTATTGTATACAGAAAAACATTGTAGTCATCCATTTGTTATATACTTTCTCTCTCTCTCTCTCTCCTCCCCACCCACTGCTCTCTGCTTGTACTTTTAATGATCACTGTGTGGAATGGTGTTGCTTCATTTTCATAATCATATCTTCTAATTCTACAGCAGCTTTAGCATATTAGGTTAAAGAAGAGATGGTTGATTGTGTGCTTATAGCGTGTCAAGCTTGTAGAAAGCTGTTTAAAGGGGGGAGGGGAACCCTTAAAATTTTAATTTCATATTAAGGAAGAAATTATCTTAGGGGGGGAAATGGATCCTGGTGGCCATTTGGAACTGTTATTGTTGTAGACGTGTAAAGTTCTTTTGTTGTTGTTTTGTTTTGTTTTTTTTCCTCCAGTAAATTTGCCTTTTGATAATTGCAGGTGAGAAACCTTACAAATGTCCCCACTGTGATTATGCTGGTACCCAGTCTGCATCATTGAAATACCACCTGGAACGACATCACCGGGAACGGCAGAATGGGGCTGGATCCCTCTCTGGACAGTCTCATAGTCAAGAGCACAAAGAAGAAACATCAAGTAAAGGATCCATGTTTGTTAGACCTGAAATACTGAGAGGAGCTTTCAAGGGTCTTCCTGGCATAGATTTCCGAAGTGGGATGGGATCTCAACAGTGGTCACCAGGAATGCTTTCTCCAGGAGATCATCCAGGTCATTCAACTGGTATCTCCTCTGAGGCTTCTTCAGATAATATGAAGGGTTCTGACACACCTTCCAAAGGGACACGTTTTTCTGACCTAGGCCGAGCGTATCATAGTATGGTTGGAAACGGTGTGAACTTTCAAGGGTCTCTTCAAGCTTTTATGGACAGCTTTGTCCTCAGTTCCTTAAAGAAAGAAAAAGGAAAGAAAGAGAAAGTCCTGTCCGACTGCCTTTCTGCAAAACTTTTGGGTTCAGAGATTAGTGAGGAGAAGTTGCCCATTAAACAGAGAAAAGCAGAAAAATCCCAGTACGAACCTCTTGATCTCTCTGTAAGGCCAGATGCAGGCAGTCTTCCAGGTTCATCAATTACTATTCAAGACAACATTGCTTGGCACGGCTGCTTGTTTTGTTCCTTCACAACCTCTTCTATGGAACTCATGGCTCTTCACCTTCAAGCCAACCACTTAGGCAAAGCAAAACTTAAAGATGGTGTTTTAGGATCAATTAGAAATGGTAAAGACCAACCTAGAGAGTCGGTGGCTTCAACAAATAAAGCCAACCTGCTGCCAATTTCTTTACAGTCCAATAAAGATTCAGCCGTTTCAAATCTGATAGGTCAAGTGGAAGCTTCTGAAAGAATGATCCAGGGATCCAAGGATTCTCCTGGAGAACAAAAGAATTCCTCTTGGCCTGGTCACGTGGACTCCACTTTTTATAATTTTGCAGCTGACTTCTATAAGCAATTTGGCGTCTACTCTGGCGTCGGCGGAGCACATAACTCTTGTACCACCGCCGACATGGACCTCAAAACCCAGTCTGAAGATGACCCACCTCTGCTGCATTCTGACCCCGTTAATAAAAATGCTACTGATGACCTGTCTGACATTGCATCCTCTGAAGATATGGAGTCTTCCAAGGAAGAAGCCATTGATGAGGAGGATCTTGAACCCGAATCTGACCTTATGAACCAACCTTTGCCCAACCTAAGCAAAGATAGCATTGACAGAGGAGACAGCATACAAAGCTCTGTAGCCTCCAAAAACTCACAAGGACTCATTTCACCATTGCCGTCTTCTGAAAAGCAGTGGCATACTTTGGGCCTGCTTTCCCCCCACGAAGCTGCACAAGTAGTAATGAAACCCGAAGCAACGTCAACCCCACAAGTCCTGGAGAAGCAAGTAAACATGCTGTCAGTCCTAAGAGCCTACAGCTCTGATGGCTTAGCAGCCTTTAATGGACTGAGTAGTAGCACAGGAAGTAGTGGATATATCAAGAGACCTGACTTGTGTGGTAAGTTTTAGAATCCTTCTTTCAGACCATTTCAGAACAAAAAAAAAAAAAAACCCCATACGAAATGACTAAATAAGTTTAGTTATATTTGTTAGAAAATCTGGCTTTCAAAAACCATGGGATAAATGTCTTCTTTGTTCTAGAGCATGGACCTCTATTGACTATAAATGGTGCTTCTGTGGAAGAGTGTGGCCTTTTAATGTGGTCCAGGCCATTCAGAAAAAAATTACATTCATGTACTTTTAAATTAGATTAGCAGTTATATAAGAGGATTGTATTTATACTATGTGATTGGGACATTTGCTGCTCCAATGTTTTAGCATTCTGATTTGGTTTTTTTTGTTTTTTTTTTTAAACTGATGTGGTAACTTGCAAACTTTTCAGCATTTGAACTGAGGAAAAGACACTGGACACTTTGTTAAGCCTTAGCCAAACGTGCTTTTTTTTTCTTCTTCAAATTTCTTTATGTTATATAAGGATATAACACTCAAATAAAAAAAAATCCAGTGAGTTATTCCAATATGTAGTTATATTTTTATAGGGAAATTTTGAAAGTCCTCATCAGACAAATAACCTTCCATTATTTTCAAAAATTAAACCACTTACTGTTTCCGTTTTCTTATTGAAAATAGTGTGATCATCAAATGATATAATGAATATGATAGACACATATATTAAAATGTAAAAATCCAAAATCATTATTATTCTTGAGTATATTTATATAGTTACTATTTTGCAGTAAAGTATGATTTTTGGAGTCACCAAATGGCAGGATATTTTTTTCTAGATTTGTCTGAGTATATGGGGTTGNCCGTTTTCTTATTGAAAATAGTGTGATCATCAAATGATATAATGAATATGATAGACACATATATTAAAATGTAAAAATCCAAAATCATTATTATTCTTGAGTATATTTATATAGTTACTATTTTGCAGTAAAGTATGATTTTTGGAGTCACCAAATGGCAGGATATTTTTTTCTAGATTTGTCTGAGTATATGGGGTTGCCAATTTGTCTAGCCAGGGTGAAGAAGTTCAACATGTGACATACATAATTGCCATATAGTTTTGGCATCATGGATTTTGATTGTGGGAAGATTTGGAAGTTGATGTGTTTAAGAGCCACCACTTGGGGACTCCAATATCCACGGAGAAATTTAATACCCTTTTTATTCATGACTTGTTTTAGTTAAGTTTTTTCCCCCCTCCTTTGATCACCATGTAACTCATCAGCACAGAAATAGGCTCATAGTCCTTCTGGAACCCCTTCTGATGCAAAATGCAACAACCTTGGAGATCTAAGGATTCTATTAATCCATCTTTTAATGTCTACTTTACACTCTTCAAGAACAGAAAGGACTGCCAAAAGCATGAGTTGAACCATTGCAGGAAAAGAAATGTCAACATTCCAATCGCCCCAGTTAATGGGAATTGTCACCCAAAAGCAAGTGATAATCCGATGTGTCAGCTCCAGTTTGGAGATGGGTGAGGAGCATATAACTGCATTCACAGTTTTGCTAGATGGATGCTACTCCTTCTATCAAGGAAGAAATGCTTTGAAGGCTAGCTGCACATGTACTGAAATGCTTCAGTTTGTGAGAGCCAACATAAATTCTGAGAGCACAACATCAAGCAGAAAAAGTCTTCTCTGAGCAAAAGCACATAGTCTTAAGTGATGTCTAATGAGCCTCAACGGGTAAAACAAGAGTAAGCAGCTTACAAATATTATGGGTTGTCAGAGAGACAACTTATGTCATTCCTCTCAAGTTTGCAATTCACAAATCCACCCCATTCAAACTGCATATCTCAAAAATATGCGAGGGAGTTTATTCCAAAAATGTGACCCCATTGATTTCCTGAATTGGAAGTTATTCCATCAAGGGAGAGGTCTCCATGACAGAAGTAAAAAAAGAAAGAAACTGAATTAGAATTGAATACATGCAGGAGAGGTTTCATTGTGGTTTCCCCTTCTCTGATTCTCTATTTGCCACTTAGAAGAATAAATAGATCAAATGAGGCATCAGAACTAGTCCTTTGCTATATGTCTGGCAAGCCATCTGAAGGATGTTTTCAAATTCACCCACGAGTATTATTTTTGATTTAAAAGGGGAGAGAGAGAAAAAAAATTGAGCTTCTGAATTCTTGACATTTAAGGCATCAGGTCATAAACATATATAGTTTCAAGAAGAATTCGCTGAAGCTACACGTTGCATGGGCCTATAATGTGTTACATTCTGGGAACTTGGAACCAATCACATTTACCATTCTAAGCTCAGAATCTGTAACTATGCAGAGCAAAGAATGCTTTCCAAATTCCTTTATAAAAAAAAAAAAAGGCCGGGGGGGGGGGGAGGAGAGAAAATGCCCACTGTGGGATTTCTGACAGTTTGAAAAATATTGACAGCTNAAAAAAAAAAAAAGGCCGGGGGGGGGGGAAGGAGAGAAAATGCCCACTGTGGGATTTCTGACAGTTTGAAAAATATTGACAGCTGTTAATGTTATGCAAATTAAAAGCTCCACTTTCTCTCCTTTTAATAGCTATTCCACCTCATCATTCTAAAAAGGGGACTTCCCAAAGAAACGAAAATATGATCTTTCCGAGTTGCTAATTTCAGGGCAGGACTGTATTCAAAATATAATATCCTTCCCCCCCCCCCTCTATATATTTCTCAGCTACTCCCTGGACAGGATTATGGTTTGGTCTGATCCCAAGAAGCAGATTCATGGGATTTCCTGATAGAAACCAGAAAATATTTGCTGGTTGGTGCTTTGTGATGTTTAGTGCTCCAAATGCATGCTTCCTCAAAAGATACATGTAAACAAACAGTAATAAGGGATGAACCTTCAATGGATACTCATTCAAAACATGTTATTAGATTTATAGCTAAGGTATCATTTAAATGTAAACCAACCTGGGCCGGGGCGGGGGGGAGGTAGAAGAAAGAATTTAGAAGATTGAGTTGAATTTAGAAGATTTGAAGAAGCCGATCTTTTGGGAGCTGCTAATAGAAGACTAATGTCAGGTATCACAAAACTAAGCAAATATTTCCATCTGCATCCTTTTCAGCCCAATTCAACCAGTTTCTTGGCCAATGGAATGCCAATGCAATCCTTGCTTCATGACTAACCTAGATCTCATTGTTTTCAAATAGAGTACAGGCAAAACTCAATATTACTTCACAGTTTGCTAGATCGATTATGGGTATTCCCTGTGTATTTTTCTTGGTATGTATCTGCTGCTGAGAAGCATGCGATCCACAGATTCCCACCTTATGGAAAACTCGGAGCATCCGAGGTGAAAAGAATAGGTCTTTTTCTCACCCTTAGTAAAGATCAACCACCTTTTCACAACTGAATTTTGAAGAAAAATTAGTTGGCTTGCATACTTGTTAGATGGAAAGGGTAGGCTAGATATTGCAAAATTTGAAAAGAGATTTAACTTCTTCTGCCATTTTTTTCTCCAGCCTGTTAAAAGCAGTTCCATTCTCAGTTACCTGGCCAGAAAGAAAGGGTAAAGGAGTCTTAGAACAGAGTAGAAGACAACATTATGAGCCCCTTACCCAGCTGTTTCTTCAATAGGGAAGCGTTGGAGGAAATGTTTCCTGGATTTTTTTTAAACACAGTCTTTCTTTCTCTCAATCTTTCTTTTGAGCAACCTCTCTTTCCACACCAAATCTGGTCTGGTTTTGTTATGTTTCTGTAGAGTTACTCTGCTAATAGATGGACCAATGGACAGATACTCCCTTTATTTAATTTCTTTCTGACGCACGTTTGGGCTGAAAAAAATAAAACGAGTAGAGGGCAGGATTGGGACAAAAAAAAATAATTAAATTAATTAAATTGCTTTAATTCAATTCATCTCTAAATTTAGTTCAAATTAAATATAGTTAATATAGTTAATGTTTTCTCTTTTGGTAATATTAGAAATACAATTTGTTAACAATTTTTGATTTGGGGATCATACCCAAAACTTTGGGGCGGGGGCACACAATTATTTGGAATCTCAGGTTATGCAATAGAGTGCTTATTAAATAATGTCTATATAATTTCTGCTCATTCCTAGTTGATGAACTAAAATGTTCCTAATAGTGCAAATCTAGATTATGAAACTCAGCTCATATAATAGGGGCATTCATTTTTTTCCCCCAAGTTTGGGATAACTGGGAAAATGCCTCAGATTCATTTCACCTTGTTCCTCCAATTATGTGTTATTCTCATTGCCCCGAACATGAATGATTCATTTAATATGGAACCAATGGTGTCTTTATTAATCGTCTACATCAGGGGTCTTCAAACTTGGCCCTTTTGTGACTTGTGGATTTCAACTCCCAGGTAGGCACGCTGGCTGAGGAATTCTGGGAGTTGAAGTCCACAAGTCATAAAAGGGCCAAGTTTGAAGACCCCTGGTCTACATAAAGAAATAGGCTTCACCCCTCAATCAAACCACTCCTAACTCAGATAAAAGTGGTCACTAATTCACAAGACAGTCAGTTGTTCCCCTGCTTTTAGCATCCACATTTTATTTTGGATTTTATTTTATTATTTTATTTTGGGAGACTATAATCATATGATATATTTCTTGGTTTCATTGGCATTAGCAGCAAACTCAAAGCAATATCATCGTTAAGAACGATGAGTTTTGTTCCAGTGTCTTTCATTAAACTAAATACGGTTTTAGGATTTAGTCACATATTACATTGTAAAAGAGCAGTTGACCCAGACAAACACACACATACACTTACTTGTGTCTTACTTTATTTTCAACTCAGCATCATGCATCAGGCTCATTTATGGCACAAGCAATCTATGCTTTCGTTCAAATTTGCTTCACTTGCATAAATTGTTGAAGTAGCCAGCAACAGTTTGGAATCAGTTTAGCGTGATTCCACGCAAAAGTTTATTTTGAGTTGGTGATAGATAGATCACTGTAGGACTTTATATGCTAAAGTCACATAAAATGCTTTTATTGACCCCCAAAGGGGCTAGAAGGGATGCCT